GTCAGTTTTTGGTTAGTTTTTTTACAGTAAAGAAGACTGCTCGTATTAGGGCGACAACTTGAATGTTCCGACTGCAATTCAAAGTCTATGGAGTACAGTTCGACTTAGAAAAATGATGAAACCTAAAAAAATGAAAAATTGCATCATGAAATTATCCCCACACACTATTTGAATGACAAAAAGATACATAATTTGCACTCAACAGATGTCAAGTCTCAATTCAATTTGGAACAATTTCTGAAATGAATTAATTCGCCGCTTACGTGTTAATAAACAAGGCTGCTCCTATATCAGGGTAAAGCCGTGAACGTTCCGTCTGCCCTCTATCGTCGATCGATCACATCCTTTTACTTCACTAATTCTTTTTTTTTCGTTTATTTTATTTACCACTACCACAACCTACATAAAACACTAAGTGATATTTTGTGCGTGGGAAAAGTATTATTAAGAGCAAATTGCTTGCCATTGTTCAATTTGGAAGGATTTAATTTACCGCTTACGCTTTTAATAGAACAAAGTAAGTTGCGCGCTAGTTATCCCAATTTAAAGTATAGACGTCAAACTCAAATTCGAACTATTAGAATTTTATGAAAAAGAATCACAGTTAAAATATCCTTCAACATATGAGTGGCGGACTAAAATATCTTGAACATGGTAATTTTTTTTTCAAACTGCTAATTCAAAAAACTTTAAAAAAAACGAATGGATAAAAAAGTCTTTTCTTTGCAAAATCTTGTGCTTTTATTCGCGTCGAAAAAAATCTCGTCAAAAAAGGCCAGTTAAACATTCGATTTTTTTTCTGAAGAAAAAACACACCCGAGATTAATTATTACCCTACTTTGTTCAAGGGTTGGAATAGCAAGACTGTTCATATCAGGGTAAGGCTCTGGATGTTTATACTGCTCTTGAAGTTCCAAGGGCTGTTATTTTTTGCGAATTTAAAAATTGATGGATTTGAAAAAAAAACATGCCACAGATTAAATTGGAGCAGTTTCTCAGCCGAATCATATCGCCGCTCAGGGAGTAATAGAGCGAAACAGCTTAAGTGCTGAATTCCCGCGTTTAGCCAAATTGGACATTTCCAAACTCGTATAATTGAAAAAAAGGTTTACAGAAAAAATTTAAACTCAACCCGTGAGTAATTTGAGATGACAAAAACTCCATTTAAAAGTGGCTGGCCAGAATACTGAAATTTGTCTGAAGAAAAGTCAGAACGAGCACAAATTTTCCTCTTTTTTTTCGGAAAAAGTCGGAATAAAAAAACTACTCGTATGTCATGGCAAATTTTCCTGAATGTAATTACTGCTGCCCCATAAATGACCCAGAAAAATTAATGATTGGACATTTAGGTTAGCTTCAAACTTTTGGAGTGCTGTTATGAAATAATAAATCAAAATTTATGTTTTGAAGAGAAACAATGTGGCCAATTCGTTTGCCTCAATTCATTTTGGTTTGATTTTAGGACCGAATAGATCGCCAAGCATAAATGGTTCGCGTTAATGAATTCATCAGCATTAACAACCCTTTCAAAGCAACCCATCAATGAATGCAGAAAATGTACAAACTGGCAATGTACAAATCCTCGGAACTTCTTCAAAAAGAATTGGAGTTCACTTTGGAGTTCAATATTTGCAGTTGAGTCTTTAAAAAAGTCGTTTGCCATTATTTCGTTTGCCAAAATTGGCCGGAATATAAAATAAATCACCCAAACTACCCAAAAATTGGGACGCAAGTACGTTAAATAGAGCCCACTTGTTAAAGTAAGTCTACTTACAAGGGACTGATATACTTTTAAATTACTATGTTCATACAAAAATCAGTTAAATAGTTTTCCATTGCGGAAAAAAAAACTTTAAAAATCTTGATTTCTTGGAGATATTGATGATCATGAGTTAAAAAATGTCACGTGAAATAAAAAAGGTTCAATTTATTTCACCAAAACTGAAATGAAACAGAGTTTTTTGGGTTTCACAAAGAATCAGATAAGAATTGGAGGAAAATAAGACTGCTCAAATCAGGGCGAAGCCCTGAATGTTCCGACTGCCTTTTGAGATTTCATGAGCAGTAATAACAAAAAAAATTGAATATAAAAAAAATAAAATGAAAACTTTTTTTCTAAAATTTGAATTTTTTTAAATGAAAATCATTCCCCCACACGCCATATAAAGTACAAAAAGATAAATTTCGCTCCTATTATTATATCAATTATGGCGTATAAGCTTTCTTGAACCAATTTGGAACTATTTCTCAGGCGGATTAAATCTCCGCGTACGCGTTAATAGCGCGAAATATATCGCGCGTTAATTGTTCCAAATTGGCCAAAATGGCAATCTTTAAACACCCATAACTTTACGAAAAGTGGTCACAGGTGAAATATCTTTTCAAATTTAAGCTCAGGACAACAATAGCTTTCGAATGATATTAAAAAATTCCGTCAAAAATGGCTAGTTAAAAAGTCGAAATTTGTCTGAAGAAAAAAAAAACCCACCCCGAGCACAAATATTCCGTTACTTTCGTATCGAAAGTCGGAACAATAAATTCGTTTGACTGCTTGAAAACGATGAATTTTAATTCATTTCACAGTACAGACTGTGAACAATGACAAATATAGCTGATGTAAGCCAAGTTTAGAGACATAAATTAATCTTCCCCGGCTTGTCGACTAGTTTTTTCTATCCGCGTCCAGTCAATTCGGCCAAAGACAATTCAGCCGATTTGATATTCAGACAATTCAGCCAAAAGTCTGCAGATAATTCAGCCAGAGACAATTCAGCCAAAAATAAAGACCGCCGCAGTAGCCCCAACGTGTTGCGAGCTTGCCAACAGAGGGTAGGACTATATACGAAATTTAAAGCCGGTTATCGCCGCAAAGCGGCGGCGCGCGCGTAGCGCGCCACCGGCGACCTTAAACCGAGAAATAGCTCCAATTCCAATTTTTTTTTCGAATCTAGCATTTTGTAAAACTGGCTGAAATGTCTCAGGCTGAATTGTCTGTATATTTTTGGCTGAATTGTCTGAATTTCAAATTGGGTGAATTGTCTGTATATTTTTGGCTGAATTGTCTGAATTTCAAATTGGCTGAATTGTCTGTGGCCGAATTGTCTGTGCGCCTTGTTTATCAACGAATATGCTTTTCTATAAATCTTGCTTTTTCTATAGAACTCAGTTCTATAGAAAAAGCAAGTTTTATAGAAAAGCATATTCGTTGATAGACAAGGCGCACAGACAATTCGGCCTCAGAGAAACAAAAGTTAACAATATTTTAAAAAATAAAAAAAGACGTTTTTTTCTATTCCAGTTTTCTTTGACATATGCTTTCAGAAATTATGTCGAAATGAATTTGAATCCTCTAGCTTACTTCAAGTCACTTTAGAAATATTTTGACGAAATATCAAAAAAAAATTAAAAAAATTTAAAATTTGACTTTTTTCAGAGCAGAGGGCAATGGTAATTTCTGGTTGATGAAAAATGCGGAAAAGATAGGCTATTTTTTCTGCATTTTGATCAACAAGAAATTACCATTGCCCTCTGCTCTGAGAAAGGTCAAGTTTTGAATTTTTCTTTCATTTTTTTCATACTTCTTCAAAATATTTCTAAAGTGAATTGAGGTAAACTAGAGGATTCAAATTCATTTCGACATAGTTTCTGAAAGCATATGTCAAAGAAAACTGAAATAGAAAAAAAAACGTCTTTTTTCATTTTTTAAAATCTTGTCAACTTTTGTCTCTCAAAAACACTTATTTTGATAATGTTAGTCGATTTAAACTCGATATAAAACCATAAGACTATATTATTCGTTGAAAATCATTGTTGCCCGTATGAAAAAATACTTCTAGCCTTCTTTGTCAGCCAATTGGATTTCTCAGGTACTCGAGGAGCTTTGAGTGCTCGAGAAATCCAATTTTCCAAAACAGTACTAGCAAAATGAGGCTCAGGTAAAAATGCTACATTTTTGGCTGATAACTTGCTAAAGTTGCATTTTCAAACTGTTTCACTGAAAAATGGAGCTCTTCATTATCTGACCCAGGGGTAGTCATGAGTTATGCTTATTGCTTTCATCCGAAGTTTTGAATTTCAGTTAAATTGTGATACATATGCAGGCGAGAGAAACTGAACTGCAATTCCAAAAACTGACTAACAATACTGAGAAATAAAAGTTTGAAAAATACAACAAGTTATCAAATAAAAATTTTAGTTTCTTAAATTATTTTTAAAATATATATTTTACAGACACCGGGATGAGGGGAAAACATTGAGGGGAGGTTAAATAATTGATTTCACGTACGAAACAACCCATTGTTTTTTTCTATTATAATCTAACGCTTTTATAATCTTTTTCTAAACAATTTCTCGTTAGGTGGTTCTATTAATCTTGGAGCATCAAAACCTTTAAACATTTGACCACAAAAAAGCATTTCACATTTTTTTATTAACGGCTATATGGAACATCTACTCTATAATTGTAAAATCTAGATCCGCCTCTATTATCCAGGTGGTTAACATCTGAATGCTCTAATACAGTGCCCTCCGCTGTTTTGCAAACTTGCTTTGCAGTTTTTGAAAATTTTTCTGAAACTTTCAAATACCATTGTCAATTTAGATGTAGTTTCAGTTCTTGAGATTGAAACAGTTCCGATTGATTATAGGATAATTGAAATTCCCGATGAAAATTGATTTAAAAAAAGATGACACTAAACAAACGTTGAATGAAGATAAAGAGGAAAAGGGAGTTCAGCGTTGTATATAAATGGAAAAAGTACCTACAAACCGCCACTTGACATAATTGGGAATAACAAACTCCCACCCGATGGATTAGAATTTATTACTGACCCCATCCAATTCACATGGGCATCAGCAATGCACATTTTGTAAAAACAGACTATTAAAAATAGCTAAAATCACCTATCGGGTGGGGGGAGGGGGGGGGGTAGTGAGAGGTACGAGAGGTACTGGGATGGGGTGAGGTGGGGTTCTTAGGTGTGTAATAGATTGGGACGTACCTTCATCTGTCGAATGAGGCGTCCGTAATTGCGTCTCTCCGTTGGCCTTTGTAGCCACACATGTTGACTGTCCAAATGAAACAAATGGGTGCCCACTCGGGTGTAGATGCAGCCCACACTACTCACAAACAGCACGATGAACACAATCCACAACACGGCCATAATCTATAAACACAGACACTGGGGTTCGAATCCAGACAGGGCTCAAAGATTTTTGACCTATGCTATAGATGTTCGATTAGAAAATTTACTAGTCTATCATTTTGTGTTTTGATGTTAAACTTAAAGCAAGTCTTTTATGATTCGATTTTAAAAAAACGTTATACCATTCAAAAATTCCAAGAAGTGCCCCTAACAAGGGTTGGCAAAATTTATGTCATTTTTGAAAATAACAAAATAACAGTTAACTATAGAAAAAAAACTTATTATTTATGTTAAATTGTTGAATAATTCAACACATTAAGAAGCATTAAGTTTCTTGAAAACAAAAGCCAGTTTTCCAGCTTTCTCGACGCCAAGGTTATATACAGACTATATAAAAATTTTAGATTATCTATACATAGTACAGATTATCTACATATTATATACAGACTATATACAGACTATAAACAATATAAACACAGATTAAATACTGATTTTCTCAACATTCTCGCCAATCAGATAAAATGAGTATTTTGAAACAGAATTATAATGTAGACTTTTCAATGAAATTTTCGTACTGATGTTCAATCTGAAAAAAAAATATATATATTTATATATATATATATATATATATATATATATATATATATATATATATGATCATTATTGTGTAAATCAGTTGCAACAAAACTAATGCTCTATGTTATTTTTTTTTTTGATTTTTTATGGATGTTTTCTCTCGAAACTGCGCTGAAAATGTTGATCTTTTAAATGAAATTTGAGAAAGTGTTTCAAGAAATTACTTTTTTTTTGCCTCGAAACCCTTAGATTGCAAAATCTTAGAGAGACCTCATGAAATTTGTAGTTTGCGGTGAACAATTTTGCGCCAGTGAGTTCAGCTCATTTTTACACTGAGAAAAAAAATTCCCTATTATAAATTTTGATTGAATTTTTGAAAAAAAAATCATAAATTTAATTTTTGAGTGGTGAAAAATCAAATGGTTGCAACCCTTATATTTTTTAGGGCTATAATTATTTTTATACAGATTATATATCTAAAATATTTACAGTTTATATACAGATTCTCTACAGGTTCCATTGTATAAGATTATACACTGACTATATGCAGATTATTTACAGATTATTCAAAGGTTTTATAGAATAAAAAAATTGATTATTTTGGCACTAAAATCTATATTCTATCTGTATGGAATCGATTATTGTTCGGAAAAGGGTTGTAGATAAATCGATTTTATACTTATGTAAATTTGTAGATTTTTCAGTATAAAACCAATTTTATCATTTTTGTCACTGCGGGTTCCCATAATTGAATACATCACGTTGAAGAATTCCGAAAATAAACCAAAAATCCAGATCTGAAAAAAATCAGCACTCATAAAAATCCATCACATCCCCCCCCCCCCCCCGCACAGCGGAAAGATATTCAATCTGAAAAAATGTTATATGCGGATGTGTTCCCAAGAAATACCCACATTCTAAGAAATAACTAAAATCACTGTTAGAAAACAATTAATTAACATTGTCAGTTGAATTGAATGTTGAATAAAAATGTTAAATATCTTCTCAATTCAGCCCCTAAGTTCATTTTTTGGTAAAATTATTTGGGTGAATAGAAAATTTTTGTCGAAATCGGGTTTTTTTAAAGTTTTTCGAAACTCGGAAAATCAGCTTAGATGACCTAAATTAGGGGCCGATAAAACCTTTGAATTTTTTTAAATTGAGCCTCTGCCCTTCTTGTGAAAAACTTGAATCCGCCGCTCGATTTTGGCAGCAAACTTTTTGAAATTTTTTTACCTCTTCATTTATAATTTTTAAAAATTTATAAATAGTTCGATTAATATTTGAAAAAAACCTCATGGGTTAAAAAACAAAGCCGCAAAGCTCAGCGAAAATTTCAATCTACATTACTAGTGGTGATTCATTTTCGAAGGGGATTGGGATTTTTTTTGGGGGGGGGGGGTGGATGGTGCGCACTGGATAGGGGGGGGGGGGGCTGACCTTTGCGACTAGCTGGAGGCTGTGTTGCCAGAAGAAGCAGAGGAGAATGGGGAAGAGGGGGAGCCAGCTGAGGAGCCAGATGAAAGGGATGCCCCAGCGGGTGAGGTGGGCAGTCCTGCTCTGGTAGTCTTCGTGCTGGAACATCGCCAGATAGTACCTACATAACATACAAAGATTCAAAAAAAAAATTGTCATGGAAGGGAAAACTTGGGGTCTTTTCGGTTATAACCCCTAAACGGATATATTTATCGATTCTAATTTCGAGTTGAAATTGATAGCGCGAAAGCGAGTGAAACCAACAAAAAATACCACTCGTGTGCAATTAGCAGCTGCTCGATTAGGAAACAAAAGTATATGGCAACTTTATCACTAGGTTTCCTAATCGAGCAGCTACTAATTGCACGCGAGTGGTATTTAGTTGTTTGTTTCACTCGCTTTCGCGCTTTCGATTTCAGCTGGAAATTTGAATGGCTAAATCTATCCATTTAGGGGTTATAACCGAAAAGAACCAATTATTTGTGCTCACTGGGTGCCGGACATCAAGCCGACGGGACTTCAAGCTGAACCGTAAAATTAAATACTTGAAGCCAAAATTTTTCTCATTAAGCCATGAAATATAAATAATTTGAAAATTTTTTTCGAAGAACATTTCAATTTCATGATCTTTTTTCAATAATTATTGGCGTTTTCATAAAATTTAAGCCTTCAAATGATTATAAGGAAAGTTGAAAAATAAAACACGATTGGCGGCAATTTTCTTGTTTATAACTTATGCATTTCAAAAACCGGCTGATATTATCAACTGATACCAATCCTAATGATTCATTGATTTGAGGTGCTTGTAAATTTTATATTTCGTTACGTGGCCAAACGGTGAATTTTTTGACATTTAAGCGGAATCCGCAACAAGGACGCTCCTTTTGTTTTTCTTTTATAATCTCATTTTCATTGATCGTTTTGACAAACTTTTAACATGTTTGAAGAATTGTCTCTGGAATCCATGAGCATACAGAAAAAAATTGTGCGTCTCTCCAGTGCACAATTTGGCCTCGTAATGTTCGGCCTGAAGTCCCTTCGGATTGAAGTCCCGTCGGCTTGTTGTCCTAGACCCGTGCTCAGTGTGAGCTTTGCTCACAGAAATTTCAAACTTTTGGAGATATATTATGTGATTTTATTGTGATTTTTGCTATTACTGTTCCGACTTTCAAAGAAAACGGAATATTTTTGCCCAGTGTAGTTTTCTTATTCAGTCAATATTCGCCGATCGGAAAAATAGTTTTTAACAAAAAATTTTTATACCCCTTTGAAGATATCGACTTCTGAGTTCAAACATAAAAGGATATCTTACCTCCGTTTTTTTTGTAAAGCTCGGGGGTTTGAAAATTGCCAAATTGACGAAAATTCTGGACTAATTTAAGCGCGCTTTGAATAGTTTATTCCGCTTCCAGACAATTCGGTTAAAGACAATTCAGCCGATTTGAATTTCAGACAATTCAGCCAAAAGTATGCAGACAATTCAGCCAAAGACAATTCAGCTAAAAATAGTGACCGCCGCAGTCGGGTCAACATGTTGCGAGCTTGCCAACAGAGGGTAAAAGTCTATACGAAATCCAGAGCCGGTTATCTTAAACCGGCGACCTTAAACCGGGAAATAGCTCCAATTCAGATTTTTTTCTAATTTTTTTTTTCGAATCTAGCGTTTTGTAAATTGATTGAATTCTCTCAGGCTGAATTGTCTGAGATATCGACTCCCTGAGTTCAAACATAAAAGGATATCTTACCTCCGATTATTTTTTGTAAAGCTCGGGGGTTTGAAAATTGCCAAATTGACCAAATTCTGGACTAATTTAAGCGCTTTGAATAGTTTGTTCCGCTTCCAGACAATTCGGCCAAAGACAATTCAGCCGATTTGAATTTCAGACAATTCAGCCAATAGTATGCAGACAATTCAGCCAAAGACAATTCAGCCAAAAATAGTGACCGCCGCAGTCGGGTCAACGTGTTGCGAGCTTGCCAACAGAGGGTAAAACTCTATACGAAATCTAGAGCCGGTTATCTTAAACCGGCGACCTTAAACCGGGAAATAGCTCCAATTCCGTTTTTTTTTTGATTTTTTTCTTTCGAACCTAGAGTTTTGTAAATTAGTTGAATTGTCTCAGGCTGAATTGTCTGCTCGCCGTTTATTCATAACGCGGAATAATTATTCGTGGCGAATCTTACCGCCCAACAAAATCGTTCCAAATTGAATTGAGGTTAGCTTATTGGTCGTATTAATTTCATACGACTAAAAATTTGACACTTTGATATTGTCCGAAACTCATTGAAAGCAACCGAGCCTCGAAATCTTCCAAAAAGGGAGCAAGTTGATAGTAACGATCCTAGGGAAAAATTCTTGTTTAAAAAAACACTCCAAATAAAAAAAAATTGTTGTCATCAGCGTCATTTTGGGATACCATATAAAACTTCAGTTCTATCCCATCAAAAAGCTATAGGAATTAAAACGAATATAAGGTTTTAAGTGCAAACATGAACAGCCAGCAAATGTAGTTTAAGTTTTGCGTAATTTTTTTTCGTGCTGCTAAGTTAACAATTTTTTTGGCCGAATAATTGGAAACACCCAAAATTATTTCAGCAATCACTCAGCAACTTTGAGCCTCAGATTGTTCAATTTTTCTATAGCAACCGAGGCTAGCCAAAGTTATACGTTTCCTATTCAAGGAACTAGGTATACTTTTATTCAAATAGCAGGTTCGAACTGATTCAATTTAATCGGATTCAGTGAAATTTATTGTTTGGAGCAGCATCAAAAACTGCCCACACTGAAGTTTTATGTTAAAAATAGACTAGAACGTAATTTCCTTAACTAAAATGTAGTCTAGGTGGTCGGTTATTATTGTTCCTACTTTCGAGGAAAAGGGAATATTTATGCTCGGTGTGTTTTTTTTTATTCAGTCAATTTCGTCAATCAAAGTAATAGTTTTCAGCAAAATTGTTTTATTCTCCATTGAAGATATTGACTTCTTGTGATGAAATTTAAAAAAATGCTTTACCTCCAATTAATTTTTGACCAAAACTTTACCTCCAAAAGTTCTGGGGGTTTTAAAAATGCCAAATTGGCTATGTTCTGGACTAGATTATGCGCGCCTTGAAGAATTTATTCATATTGCTGACAGCGTAACGTGAATTAGTTGTGCGTGACGAATTATCCCGCACAACAAAATCGTTCCAAATTGGATTGAGGCTAGCTCATCGGATCGGTCGTATTAATTTCATCCGACTCAATATTTCACATTTTGATATTGTTCAACACTTATAGGTTTTTAATTTCTTTTCCAAAAACTATTCATTCAGAACATTCAGGGCGGCTAACCAATCCGACTCGCAAATCGTTCCAAATTGAATGCAAGCACGCTATGTATTCTAATTTAAGCGCTAAAAGAAACAAGACTGCTCGTACCAGGGCGAAGCCCTGAGTGTTCCGACTGCCTTTTAAGGTTTATGGCGCAGTAATAACATTAAAAAATTCACTGAAATAAAACAAAATGAAAAAAAAATAATTTCTAAAAATTGAATTTTTTTATGAAAATCATCCCACCACACGCCATATAAAGTACAAAAGGATAGATTTCGCTCCTTGTAACAAACCAATTATGGCAAATAAGCTTCTTTTAACCAATTTGGAACGATTTCTAAGACGGATTAACTCTCCGCTTACGCGTTAATAGCGCGAAATATATCGCGTGTTAATTGTACCAAATTGGCCAAAATGGCGATCTTTAAACCCCCGTAACTTTACGAAAAATGATCAGCGGTGAAATATCTTTTCAAATTTGAGCTCAGGACAACAATACCTTTTGAATGATATAAAAAAATTCCGTCAAAAATGGCTAGTTAAAAAGTAGAAATTTGTCTGAAGAGGAAAAAAACCGACCCCGAGCACAAATATTCCGTTACTTTCGTATCGAAAGTCGGAACAATTACTTTGCACTTCCAGTGGCGTATGATTTTCAAAACAATTGTCAACAAGTTTTAAAAAATCATTCATTTCGAGAATAACATCCGATATTTTTAGGGCGAACACCACTCCACCACTCATTAGACGTTACAGAGCAGTCGGAAAACTGAAAAGGTCGCCCAATAAAAGCAGTCTTCTATTCTACATTTCAGAGCAGTCTTGTATTTTGAAACATCATGATTTGTTTTTTTTTGTATTTGTATTTCGTCAGTTTTTTCATCTTTCAATCAAAATTGATGCAATGAAGCTAGGTGTTTTTACCAGACTGGCTTTTAACTAGACCATTTTTTAAATACGAAACCGACCAGGTAGTTGACCAAAAGTGTTTCAGTCAATTAAAAATATACTTTCAAAAACGGAAGTACTCGCGGCTACACTCGACACGAGATATATTGTGCGCGTGAATCAGAGTAGTTTGCCTCTTAATTACGTTTCTCTGCAGACAAAATAAAAACAAACTTTGCTTCAAGGAAAAATTATCTTTTCCCTGACTGAGACAATTTTTGAGAATTGAGACAATTATTGTCGTGGGCTGGTAAAAAAACCGTGTCTAGTCTTGGGAAAATTTTTTCCTCGATGTGTGGTAATATTAATAGGGCCTAGCGGAAAAATAGATGGTTAGCGTTGTATCTCGTTACTAAAATGGAGTATCATATGATGGAGAGACTTTATGATGGAAAATAATTTCAGCCAATCAGAATTGAGTTTTGAATTTTTTTAAATAAACTGCAAAAACCTGAAGGTAAACTTAAAACTGACAGATTGCAAAACAAGCAAGCAAAAAAACTTTCAAAGTTTGCTTTATTGAAGACGCTTCGAAAAAAAAACATCTTTCAAGGAAGCCGAATTAAAAGATAGTCGAAAAAATTCAAAAAGCTTCTTTTTATATCTGCACGATTTGTTCAGCATTTTCCATCATACGAGTACTCACCCGTTATTAAAAATGTGACCATTAATTATCCAAAATCCAAGTTTATTTTATGTGGCAATTATAACAAAAAGCTGCAAAGCTTTAAAAGCGAGTCAACTTTCATTTTTAATTATTTAAAAACATGCTAAAATGAGCACATTTTTGTTTTTCTTGACGGTTACAAGATTTTTGCCGGTTAAAATAGTTGTTTATTTCCAAATGAAATTAGTAG